GAGCACTGATTAAAAGCTTTGCCACACTCATTACATTTGTAAGGTCTCTGTCCAGAATGAATTCTCTCATGATTCATGAGGTTTGAGTTTTTGCTAAAAACCTTCCCACACTCATTACATTTGTAAGACTTTTCTGTAGTGTGTGTTTTTCCATATCGTGTAGGTAACAAAGGATATTTTACAATCTTCCTATATTTATTACAAATATTTCTGACACTAGGAGGAATTCTTCGCAGTGGTGAAACTGAGGAACCATTGTTGACAGACTTCTCAACTTGACTGTACTCATAAATTTTTTCCTCAGTTTGAAATCTCTGCAGTTCAGCCAGATGTGCCTGCCAACTTAATCCAGTTCTGTTTTCCAAACACTTCATATACTTGTTTCCAGCCTCGCTCATGTTATTTTTTAGTTTTAACAAACTCCTCATAAATGGTTTGTCATGCATGAAATATTGGTATGTATTATTTCTCACAGAAACATTCTGCTTTTGAGGAAAATTACTTGAGGATTTATTTTGTTTTTGATCTATTCTACAAGTGAGATTTTTGTTATGAGTCAAAGGGACTCCTGTGTAATTTCTTACATCATATCCCCATTCATTCTCATGCTCATGCATATTTTCCAAGATTTCCCTGAGGTCAAAATCCTTGATGCCATGGCTTTCATTTCTTTCCAATATCTCTAGATGGTATAATTCTCCTTTATCAATGTCCTCTCTTGGTGATAATTCCTTTATTCCAAATCCAGCAGAAAGGCTTCCTATTAAATAGAGATGGAAAATAAATATTTTACATTGAATTACATAATTACACAAAAAATAATACTTATAATGAACATAGTCATAAAGTTTCTAAAGCATGGTCCTCAAATACTATTGTGATACACAGATTTTAAGAATTTTTAAATAATTTTTTCTGTATTAATGTCTTATCTGACCTTTGATCCTAAATTTTCAAAGAAGGGGCTGGCCCGGTGGCGCAAGTGGTTAGGTGTACGCGCTCTGCTGCAGCAGCCCAGGGTTTGCAGGTTCGGATCCCCGGCACGCACGGACGCACTGCTTGGCAAGCCATGCTGTGGCAGCGCCCCATATAAAGTGGAGGAAGATGGGCACGGATGCTAGCCCAGGGCCAGTCTTCCTCAGCAAAAAAAGAGGAGGATTGGCAGATGTTAGCACAGGGCTGATCTCCTCACACACACACAAAAAAACCT